CTTGCAGACAATGCAACAGCAGATTAAATCAATATTTGATTTTGAGATAGCGCTATATAGTATACTAAGATAAAACTATTAAACTACTATTTAGACATAAAAGGGATATGTTCGATGGTGTTCTTATGCAGTAGGCAGGTTGACAGGTCTGACATTCCTACCTACGGTCCAGATGCTATAAATACTCACCAGTGCACCAGCTGTGCACTGATCCACAGATGAAAGTACTCCCAAGTAAATGCAGTACTTACTCCAGGTGTTTTGGAAAACTACTTATACCTTTTTCAAAATGTTATTAATTGATATAATTCGAATATATTGTTGTAGTTTATTCACATTTACAAAATAGCACAACTACTTTCTTGCAACCAAAAGAGAAAAAATTATATTGCCTTGTGACTCCATTGAATTCTTTCACAAATGGCAACTGATTGCAGGTAGCTGCAGTCTGACTCAGACTGATTTTAACAGCTGGCTGCGTCGACAGAATGGTGAAGATTTGTAAATAACTGCAGTGCAGTTTGCAACATTTGCAATGGAGGACTTGATGCAACTAGTTGCCAACTGGTTGTATTCTGGTTGTATTCTGATTTCATGCTGATTGTATTATATAAGTGCCTTTGCTATCCTGCAGAAACTATGTCACTCTTCCTGGTGGAATTTCAGAATTTCTGTTATTAATTTGTGAAGTTCTGGCTGGACTGTCAATGTAACTATGAAGTATGATGATTATGGACTTTTGTGTATTTAGACAGCAACAGATTTGCAATTTATTACAGTTAATTGCTGTATAACAGTTTCCATATAATTACCAACTTGAAACCAGTCAATCACAAACTGATAGCAGACTGATTTGATCTTATTGCCATTTTACTGGCATCCCGACACCCTGACAGTTGCTTTGAAGACAGCAACCAAAGGCTGCAAGTGATCATGGACACGGTTCCCATCTTTAAACCAACTAACGGAGAGAGTGCGATTGCAAATTTCACAATCATAATCATTTTGTTTTTGTGGCAGTCTGCAGCATGACGTCAGTAATAATAACTCATTTTTAAAACTGAGTCATACATATAACAAGAAACTTTACAGATTCACAGATTTTCTTTCTGTCAAATCCCAAATAACACGGAGTGTGTATCTACATGTGTTTTGCTGGAACTTTAGCAACACTGTGCAATGAGAAAAAGCAGGCTGCTTCAAGAGTCTGGATGATAAAGAGATCGGTGAGAGCAGGTTAAGCAAGGTTGTGTATTTGTCAGTGAGAACTGGAGGTGAGATTTGAACTGCAGAAAGAGAGTAGAGGTCTGTGGCATAACTTCAGACTCTTTCAAGGAGCATGGAGGGGGGGAGAAAGCCTAGATTATACTCTGTGGCAGACATGGAAATGGACAGCTGGAGACATGTTGGCTGAGAAGTAATTCCCGCTTTCCTATACTAGTCCACTAGCCTGGAGCGCCCGCAAAGTTGTAAGTGCACAAAAAACAAGCAGGCACGCGGACATCCCCATGGACGCTTGCACTCATCATCTTAGGATAAAATTTCTGTCATTCAGACTTGAGTGGACCCTGGCGGATGCGGAAATTCAATTCAATTTTGTTCAATTCAGTTTTATTTATGTAGCACTGTGACAAAGTGGGTGACAACACCATTTGTCCATATTCTTAGGTAACATTCTTGTTTTGATTTAACCATATTTCATATGCAATCTGCAATAGGCAAACATCTACTATCCCGGGTTTGTTTATGTTTTGCACTTTTACAGATTATATAATATAACATCTTGGTTTAAATCAATTCCTACAAGTTTAAGTTAACATGTTATTTATTTCAACTGTTAATTTGTATTATTTAGAACCTTACCTACCTGTCTTCTAGAAACAAAAGGAAGAAATGTAGTTTTACTTCCTGCTTTATAGCTTCTGGGTTCATCTGAGGTCACAGGATGAGACCAAGTGCAGAAGGGGAAGAATTCTTGTAATTTAATAAAGTTGATTTTAGAGTGTTTATGGATAAATAGATTTAATGATGTAATATGTATTGATTACACCATAGAGTTTATGTTGCTAGTAAAGAGTAGCAGTAGAGGTTTGAATATAATCATGTTCATCTTACCTACTGAATGGAATAGTCCAGAGGAGAAATTGTTTGGTTAAGTGGACTATTTAAGCAGAACTCAGGTGTTTGAGAAGAAAGGTTCAGGTCAGTGTAGCTGTGTGCAGTTTGACCTTAATTTCCGTTGATTTAACTTCAGTTTTATTTAGCTGAACTGAGTTAATTTAGAGTTGAGTTTTTTATTGGTTTCTTTGTAAATATTGTTTGGGTCACAAAATGGTGAATAAATCACTTGCTACACTGGACAGCATCAGTCTCATGCTCTTCTTTGACCGCTTAAGTCAAGTCCTGCCACAAGCACCAAATCACAACAACAGTTGCCTCAAGGCGCTCCAGCAATACTGTTTAGAGATATGGAATAATATTTCCTCATATATGTATTTATTCATATGTAATGGATTTAATGACGTAGAGAAATACACAACCCCAAAATTATATACATTCACATATCCATTGATGAATCATCAAAGACAACTGGCTCAGATTGGTAGTAATTAGCAATAGTATCCAAACACAACATTAGCATCAAAGACTAAAACGCTTATGTTGCTTCACATTACAGTCAGCTGCTCTAGAAATAACTTGAAAGTCTTTGAGAGTCTCTACTAAGTTGTTCAGCTTGCTCCATCTCTGTCTTCCCAAAGCACATGAAGACTACCTTGTTGTTTCACTTTGCCACTGTTATTTTCACTGTCTGCTGTGTACATGCTGAAGCAATTATATGTGTAACAATAAAGATTGTAACGATTAAACATCAAACATCAAGACAGCCCCGATGAGTCCAGAAGCACTTTTGTAGGCTTTAAGAATGCTTCTATAAACCCTACAAAGTACCAGATAATGGGTCGAACATCAGCACTGACGGGGTCCGGACTCACATTTGAATGTCGGGATAAGGAAAGGAATCAAAGGCAAATCTGCTATAAAGTCCTGTAGTCTGACGCGCACTAAAAGGGTAATCTCTTCTGGCAGCAAAATTGACGAGCGGTAATTCAATCTGGATGCAAATATGCAGAATGTCCTGTTGTTGATGGTGTAGACACGGTGTGGAAGCTATGGGTTTGTCTGTGTTTTCATGATGGTTTTCAGTAATGTTGAGGAGTAAAGTGTTTTTGTGCCACTTAAGTTTACTAATTAAAATGCAATAACTTCCACTTTTTTTAAAATAACTTCTTGAAAAATGAATGAAAGTAGCATAAAGCATGTTAAAACCAATCATAATAACAGAAATCAATTAGATTAGATCAGTTAGCATTTCCTCAAACATTACTTTTAACACACTGTTACTTTTCCCCCCAAATTAAAATAAATCAATCAATAAATCAATAATAAATATATCAAAGAATAAAAAACAACTCCAGTAGGTGCAGAAGTTTCAACCCACCTGCATTGCGGTGAAGTACTCATTAGTTTTATCATAAAATGAGAGGGTGGGGCTTACGTAGATGTGACTGTCTACCTGCACTCTCAGATACTAATTGTTACAAAAAAGTATCCATTTGCAACATATTGTTGCAAATGGATACTCATTTGCAACAATATTGAACAGTGCCGTGTTTGCCTCTAGCTGACACACAACCTCAGCACCCTGCATACAGACAGCACACAGCCCCTCCCCTCACTAGCAGCTGAACACTGCTTGAAACAAACTGACACCCTCATCTTTATGAGGAATTTCCTGTTTCAACAAGACTAAAGTATTAAAACATTATCACAAACATTAACCTGGCCACCGCACACCTTGGCACATTAAGTCATCTGTTGTTATTAAGGTAGTAGGTACTACTACTGCTACTGCTACTGGGAGCTAAGCAGCAAATGTAATCAATTCCTCCCATCTGCAGAATCAATAAAGTGAATTTCACAGCATTACAAAGTTATTTGTGTTTGAAAATTGTTACACTTCTCTTAAAGTCCCTGACTGAAGCTGAGAAAAGGCTGTTTGATCAGCAGAAGAAGTACAGTGAGAAGTCACCAGACACATAAACAGGACTGTAGCTGAATACAAAAAAAGATTCTTTTTAATGTCTTAACTTCTATGAAAAATTATACTCCTGGGTGCCACTATTGAGTGTGAAATTCCAGTGTTGTGACAACCCCGGTGCACACAGAAAAGCCAACAAAGACTGCATTAGGAGGTTGGATGGATGGATGGCAGTGGCACAAGTCATAAAAGCTGCTCTGATGAGACTTGGGTTAATTTCCTGTATATTATTATCATTATTATTATTATTATTATTTTCACTCACTGTTTAATCAGATTAGACAACAAAATGTTTTAGTTGGTATTTAGGTTAAAGAATACTTCTTTTAAAACGTCATACATGTTAGAAAAGCTTTATTTTCCAACAAAGAAAGAACGGGTGAAAAGACTTCCCCTACAAAGCAAAAAAAAACCCCAGCTAGTTTATTTTTGAAAATACAAAATTTTATTGCCAACAATAAATGTGGCATACTTTGGTGTGAGACTAGGCAAAAGATTCCAAGGTAACATTTTCACATAAAAAGCCTCAGACCCTCATTAACTTATTTGGCCTTAATTAAGGGAATCATCAGCTGGTGACAATTCAGAGCTGATAAATCCTCCACACTCTTCAACTCTTGTGTTAGCACTCAACAACCACGGGCTTCTCTAAGAAACTGCAAAGCTAATTGAGGCTTCCAGGATTGGGCTAGGCTATAAAAAGATATCAAAAAGCTTCCAGCTGTCATTAGGAAATGGCAGTTGAAGGGAACTTTGGAGAGCCGCACACGATGTGGACGACCAAGAAACTTTTAGTTACACAGGTGTAGCACTGGGCTGTTTCCCCATCCAGCATCAAATAATCATTAAAAAATATTACCTGCAGAGTTGTAGCATAAACTATGAATAAAGATGAACTTACCAGTGCTTCACCCTCAGAGAGAACACGCTGCTCATCGTGGACAAGCACCACTTTAGCCTTGATTTCATCCACTGTCAAACTGCAGAGGGTACAAAATCAGGAAGCATTTTAGTATTTATCCCAATATTGGTTTTTTTGCCCAATATAATAAGTTGATTTCATCATGATCCACATAACATGTCATCAGCACAGCATTCACAAGCACCTGAGGCCCACTGAGTCACATTTCAGTCTCATTTCCTGTGGCAGGGATTCAAAGTTTGCACAAAAGAAACAAATACTAAACTTTTTGATCAGATGCACAACCAGTCAGTAACACAAACCGACTGCATTGAACCAACAATACATTTTGCGATCAAGGATGTTCTGCTCTGAGCTGAGCACTTCTCTTTCCTTTTACCCTATCGCAGTTTAAACTGCACAAAACATAAAGCAGCACACAGTGCAGTCAAAATCTCTCATGCCACCTATTATCCTACAGCATTTAGATCTTTTTTCTATGGCCATTCTTCACCGCTGGTGTCTTCCTTCCTCAGGTTTTACGTAAACCAGCACTAAACTGAATGGAGATAATGACTGCATGGCCAGGATCAATCCTAGGAGTCCATCAAAAGCGGACGTGCAGGCAAACATACAAAGCAAATAGCTTGTTCCACTACAGAGGATCAATGCTAGGGGTAAGTGCTGGAGAAAAGCAATGATCTCTCTGCATTGTCGAGCTGCACACAATGACGCCTCTAAAAAATAAAGAAATAAATAGAATTTGGTGTGAGGAAAACCGGCTTTGCCCCCAATCACTGAGGGCAGATGCAGACCTGATCTCGAGAGCAGGTGCTTTGCTAGGTTTCCCTGAGAAAGACAGTAAAAATATTGGTAACTCATACACATGCACTGATGAATCCTGACAGAGGGGAGGGGATAAAAAGCACAACCTGTTCATGGGCCTTTGGGAGGCTCCATCATGGTTCATTTCCTGAAGCAGTTGGTAGACTCTATTTATAGGCCAGCATACTGGTACCAGTTAATCCTGCACTGGGCTGCCAACTGCTTGCCAGCTGGCACAGTGGGTTGCACTTGTGTGTGGTGCTCAGGAAGGTTTGGGTTGAAATAATCGTGAGGAAGGCAAGAATCTACCTTAATGAACAAAGTGTGGGGGAATAATTTACCCCCCTATAACACAATATGAATCTGTGAGACTGCAGATATATAAACTTGAGGTGTGACCGAAACATCGGAAACACTGCATGCAAAGATATTCCACGACGTTAGCCTGCTGCGTAACTCGCAGTAACAATATTTATACAGAATTAATATTAGCATTAAGTACAAACTGTGGTGATAATCAGCGACATCTCTACCACTGACATGTTCCTTCATGCACATCAGAGCAGATTCTAAACTTTAAAGGAAAAAAAGGAAGAAAAAAAAAAAAACAGGTTGCATGAAGCAATTACTGGTGACACAAAAATGAGATTAGCTCACAGTATAAATGAGAGAACAATTATCTGTGAATCTGCATTAAAGATAATTAGCAATTCCAATCAAGTGGATTAAGAATGGGATAACATTTCGCTAAGTGTCATTTGGGACAAAGCCAAGAGCTTTTTTTTCCCCCTGCTTTGTGCACGATAAAGAGCCTGTAGTGTGCATGCTAATCTCGATCAAAGTCCCCGGCAACGTGCAAGCGTCAGGTATACCAGCAAATTTGCATTTATCATAACGGCGACTAAATCAAGCTTGACACTCGGGCATGTGAGCCGCAGAGCCACATGGGGAGGGGAGGACTGGTGATGTAGCACACAAGCGCAAAGCCTTCACCTGCTTTATTCAAATGGGCATCAGGACACGTCCTGCATCAAGATAGCCAGCTCACCGAATCCACATGCTGACAGGCTGAGACAATGGCTGGATAGAAATGAGCGACACTTGCAGATATTTCAGCTTAGTAATGTGTTTGTTTAAGCGCGAGGCGGTGCTTTGGATGGAGTGGATGGATGGAGGCAGAGCCGGGGAGGGAAGGGACTGTGGCTGGGAGGGGGTGGGTAGGAGGGCTTGAATAATGGTTTGCATCCTATCGCAGGAATGCATAAGTGGGCATATAGCGCTCTGCCAGAAAATCGCTGCACAAGCAGTTCGTCCTCGATGCGGCCATATGTTTTATAGCACTTTCAGTTTACTATGCTTGGGCCAGCTTGCTTTCCGGAAGAATATGCCCAGTTAGCTTAAGAAGTATCGATTTTTTTTTAACTTCAAGCATGTTGTGGGGAAAGTGAGGATGTGAGGGTGTGGATGGCTGTGGAGAAAAAGCATGAAGGGGGACAGGCTCATTGGATATCATGGACTCCGTTTTTCTGCAAGCCACTAGAAAAATTTACATATCTTCCCTGGCAGCAAAACGGATGCCATTCCCGTTAAAGCTGGCCGCCGTCAGACGCCGATCCTGACAGCAACTTAGTTCGTCTGTGTAGCTGCAAGGAAGGCCGGGAGATTGGAAAGCGGAGCAACAAGTGAGCCTGCTGAGACTTGAAGATTGAACAATGCAAATAAGGAGAAGAAATACTTTTTGAGGCTTGCTGGAGAATAAATAGGTGTAGGAGTTCCAGGGAATGAGATGCGTGCATTCGACTCAGACTGATGAGACTTCACTGCTCCACAAGTTAAGGTGGAACTAATGAGTGTAATCCATATTCATACTGATGTGAACACCCATTTATTTTATAGCACGAGTAATGCAAGACAGAATAAATGCGAGTGACAACCTATAGTTTTAATCCAGTGTTATGGATCTTCTTTATCATATTTCATGTTGTTTTGGTTTCACTCTGCTGCATTAGCAGAATTTCTCTTGAGGGTATCTGACATGATAATATTTCCTAAAACTCTCCGATTCAGTCTGCCGGAATTTAAAGGAACTTCTTCAACAGTATTTTTTTTTTTTTTTGTGGTTGTTATTTCGTGTTTTGTGGTACAGTTTCATTTGACTGCTAGTGGCCGGTAAATTAATGACTGGCTTTTGTCACCAATCAATTTGGAGAGAATAATGTTCAAAGACAGGCGATCATTTGTCAGGAAAAAAAGATAAAATGTAACAAACGATTTAAATTCAGCACTTAACTTTAGCTCTCTTATGCAGCTTTCATGTCCTTTCTGTAATTACAAGAAATTACTATTTCCCCAGACTTCTTGAAGGACATTCAAAGCTCTTCTTTGGATCTTGGCTTCTAGATGATCCCACACCGCTCCAAGAATGCAGTGGTCCGGGTTCTGGGGGAGGCCAATCCATGACTGATAGTGTTTCTATCCAGGTATGGTATTACTGCTTTGGCAGTGTGTTGGCAGCCATAGCGAATCAGATGCTTTCCAGATTGTCTTACAAGGTGTATCGAACTCTAACCATGCTTTTCCATGGTCATAATTTCATACATTCATACATACAAGATCCCCAACACCTATTGACAACCATTTGAACCAAATTGGAATCATCACTCCGTTAGACCTGTTACAATGGATCTTCAGTCCCGTTCTTGTGTAAACTGGCATACCCTGTTTCCCATCCTTAAGAATGGCCTTTTGGATCAGTTGAAGGGCCAGATACATCACTCACATCCTGTATCAGGTCTTTGCTGAATTTGTCCTATTTCTAAAGTCTTTATGAATAAGCCTTGAAATATTTTTCAGAACTGAGTGGTTTCTGTTATATTTCAGGCCTGTTTATAGAACAAGATAACTGGGTTTGCATTAGAAGTTAGTGACTGTAGTCGCTGCCTCCGCAGCTTCTTTTGGAAAAACCCAGAAAGTATTGCAATGGTAGTCAAACCACGACTTTACTGATAAATCGTGAGGTGTGAAAACCCATCATTAAGTGTACAGGGGAGGTCGCAGGGAGACACCACACACCATTCCAATATATCAAGTTTCTGTTTAATAGCTCTTCAGAAAGCCTGAAGAAATATTGCACAAGGTCACTTTAAACAAATTACATTAAAGTCTGGCTCCTTGGAAGCAATATATAAAGAAATAAGGGGTGGCTGAAGACTTCTGCAGAGTGCTGGATGACGACATAATATATATATATATATTTTTGTAGTATTAGATTTCTTAGCAATGAAATAATGCGACAAAAAGCCCATTCACCCTGGCAAGAGCAGAACCCAACAAGGAAAAACTATTTCAGTATAAAAACATCACTGGTAGCCTTCAAAACCTGAATCAGTGGATCTTTATTATGCAAAACTTTGCCTGCGTAATCAACAAAGTATTAATAGAATATGGTTCTACCTTGGGGGTGGGGTTAGCATTATAAGGCTGACACTTCATACGCATATGAGTGCACCCATATGGAAAAGATATATATAAATCTTATAAAGTTTGTATCTGTCTTGTGTGAAACTTGTATGAAAAGCATACAAGAGTAAAAACAGATATAAGATCCCTTGAAAAATTATATAATGAAACGTGTATGTTTTGGATACTTACTAAAACAATGTATGAAAGTAATGAGAAAGTGGCCACTTTCATGAGCAATCACATATAAGTTTTTACTATTTCTTTTCCATATGGGCAGGTTTCTGGACTCACTAGAATGGGCAGCACTGGCCAGAGCATGAAAACAAAAACAGGACTCAAAAGAGTCTGAATACAAGTTATTTACCTGCCATCTTTATTGGTGTCCAATAAATGGAAAATGCTGGTAACGGAGCTGTTCTGATGTCTGATGAGACCTAAAAAATAAAATAAAATAAAAAAATCACGTGTTACTGTAGAATTAAGTGATTGTTTAAATAGCAACCACTTCCATCTGAATGCAAACTGAGAGGCAGGAATGAAGAAAAGGATGGAGCTGGATTTAAAAAATATGGGGGGGGGGGGCAATCAGGCAATGAGTCAGTCACGCTGTGCAAGAACATTTGGTTTCCCTGTAGGAAAAGAAAAAAGCATGGCAGAGTCCAGAATGCAATCAGGAGGCTTTGTGCTGTAACGGCTGGTATGACAGTGATTTCCCTCTTCTCCATTCATGTACACAGGCAGATGAAAAGGAGACGCAAAAACTTCCTCAACCCTCTTTTTCCAGCGAGCATGTGACCCCAACCGATTCATTCTGTGAATCCGCATTCACTGCGAGTGGAAAGGAGAGGAAGTTCTCTTATGTTCAGCACTGAGCATCTCCCGTGTCATCGGCAGAGCAGAGAATGTACGAGGGGTAAACTGATTGGCCCCTAAGTCTGGGGAAAAACACTTTACATAATGCTAATTGCACATCCGCCGCAATTATCTTTCTGTACTAATTACAGAAAAGCTCATTTTGAAATTACCATTTCTTCCCAGTGTACAGTAAAGCAACTGTGTTAAGTGTGTGATCCAGGGGGGTTTAAAAAATGATCCCTTTTCTCAAACCCATCTTTGCCAAAATAAATCCATATTTATTAAGGCATGCTGTTTCTGGGATTAAAAGTTTTAAAAGATGCTAGATCCTACGCCACTCCTTGACACCCGAAACATGACCGGGAGCTGCAAACGTCTACGGAGAAGCCAGATTCCCGTCACCCCACCCTCTGTTTGTTGACTGTATTCAACCCCGGGAGTTAAACAAGATTTGCTAATATTCTCCTGCAATACACACAGCATCTGTCATATTAGTGGCTTATTCCTTTGTTTGAACAGCACTCTATTCCCAACCTAATGCTTGACATTCTCAACCCATCCTCTGGCCGCTCTGTCTCGCAAGAAAAAAAAAAAAAGCGAGCGCACTAAAGGAGCAAGAGAAATGGTCTCATCCCTCGCTCTACTGCAGAGCCATAGCTATGAAAAACAACCATAAGGAGGATGGATGGAGACGAAGGCAGGGGAAGAAAAAAGATAGAGTGGATGCAGGGGATTGGAGGGCAGTGGGTGGGGTGGGGGTTGGTTGGCAAAAGGTAAGAGGAAGAGTCGAGAGGAATGGGGAAAATAAAAGGAGAGAGGAGGAGAGAGAACAAACAAAAAAAAAAGAAAAATTGGGGAAAGAGGTTCAACACATTGGCTCTTTAGGCCGACGGCACATATAGGGGACTATGTTTACTAATGGACACCATCAGTCATCCACCCATGTTGCTCGGGCAATATCACGGCACACTCGTAAAATAAAAGAGAGGCACAAAGAGAACAGAGGGAAATGGAACATATCAGCGGGAGACTGCAGATCTACGCCTAGCCTACAGACCATGTTATCCACACAGAGCTTTGTTATTGTAGGCTCGCACTGCACTCCAAGGCTAAGAAAACACACATTGTCCTGTCTTTTATATACCATAGGCAAGATTTCCAAGAAGGGAAATTACAGTATATGTATGAAAAAAAAAATACTTTGAAATGGAAATAGATCAAACGCTGCAGGTAGAATCTTTTTTTGTTTTTGCTTTATCGATGGGATGACAAGACTGGAAATACTGATTGAAACCTGAAAATAAATATTTGAACCTAAACGGTGCGTTTAACGGTGAGCATCAGAATGAAAAAATGAAAAAACACTGCAGCACAATGAGAGCGTTGCAGTGTACAAAATCAATATCTTACTCATTAGAGTTTGCTCATAAATTCATCAAGGTTGTGATTACAGTTGCTGAGCTAATTGCCTTATTCCCAGAACTCTTTTCAAGGTTCCCACATGGCTGTGAGTGATTTTTCCAGGAAATTTTTTAACAACCTGAAACTGATATGACACGCAGGTTTTACAAATGAGATAAATGATTGTGCTGCAAGGAAGCTCGGGTATTCGTAACTCGAAAAATCAACTATTAAATTACAAGGTACAATTAATAAAGATGAAAGAATAAAACTAGTCTACATTCTCTGTGGAGAGCTTAGCAGAGCTACCATCACTCAGTCCTGCTTTAGGACTAAATTACCACAAAAATACTTTAAAGATATATCAAATTTAATGGAATTTCAGAGTGAAGCTCTGTTTTCAGTTTGGGCTATTGCTGCTTGACTGAAAATGTCAAGCCTTATGGGACCTTCTGAACTCTTTTATGTTTGACACTGTTTGTTTTGCTCTACAAGGACAATCAAGCGTTTCCTTATCTGGAGAGGAGACGTATAAGCGGGGATATGAAGCGCTCTGTTAGAGTTCAGAACAAGAAGACAATGCCTGCTGCAACACGTGTTATTGCATTATTTCAAGAAGACATAAGTTTTATAAAGTCTACAGTCAGGTAGACAAGATTTTTTGTTATTTTCCTTTGTGCAAATCATGTTTTATTAGAAATAAATATCAAGAACCTGTAGCCTTTTGAATTCATAATGGACCCTGGTTTCCAGAGAATAGGATATAATAGTACAGCCAGTGTTTATGACTGGATCTGGTCCATATAGGTTAGCTCAGGGGAACTACTCGAATCCTCAGAGGCAAGATAGCAGACACTCTAAGTGCTTAGTACATCCTTCATATACAAAGATACAGACATTCTCTATATTAATATATTCCAATAATACATATTTTGTTGGATTCAGTTAATCTCTTCCTATTCTAACCTACTATTAGCATTTACATGTGAATGCACATTAAAGACAGGGAAGCGTAATCACTATGGCTAACGGGCTTATAGTCTATTTCTCCTTCAAACAATTTTTATACAGAGATTTCCTTACATATACAGTACTGTGCAAAACTCTTGAGCGACACCCAATTTCTTTATATTTTGCTTGGAAAATGAGAAAAAGAGTACATCAGTTTATTCAAATATGTACAAACACACATGGAAATACAGTATCTAAACCAAAAACAGAGTTTGTGAAATTCTAACAAGCAAATACTAGTCCTACATTTCCTCATACTTCATACAATAAGCCAAGTTTATGGCTAGCAGTTCTTTAGGAATGATGCTGTTAAAAAAATTAGTTAGTTTTTTTTTTTACTGTTTTTTACTACAACTTACTGCATTTTTCAGAAATTCAACTAAAGAAATGTGAACAAATAATGAGGTTTTTGACGAGATGTTGGTAACAAAGTGCCTGAAGATACAATTTACATTTGGTTCTTTGATGAGTTGTCTGCTATGTGTCGACACGACACTGGTTTATCCCTTGAGTTAGGTGCCTTTTTTAATCCTTCAGTGATTCATAAATCTGTAAAGCTTTAAAAGACCTTCGTAAAGTCAAAACAACTGTTTCTCGAGGAAACTTCAATAAAAATAACAGGAAATTAAAATACAAAGAAATGAGAGGTGGCTCAAGACTTTTACACAGCACTCTATCTGCAAGTCAAAGTCCACTTTAAATAAATCGAATAAAGAATACTGAATCCCATCTTTATTTGATGCCTTCAGGAATAAAGACAATAAGCTTGCATCACACACATACAGTGGGGCAAAAAAGTATTTAGTCAGCCACCGATTGTGCAAGTTCCCCCACTTAAAATGATGACAGAGGTCAGTAATTTGCACCAGAGGTACACTTCAACTGTGAGAGACAGAATGTGAAAAAAAAATCCATGAATCCACATGGTAGGATTTGTAAAGAATTTATTCGTAAATCAGGGTGGAAAATAAGTATTTGGTCAATAACAAAAATACAACTCAATACTTTGTAACATAACCTTTGTTGGCAATAACAGAGGTCAAACGTTTACTATAGGTCTTTACCAGGTTTGCACACACAGTAGCTGGTATTTTGGCCCATTCCTCCATGCAGATCTTCTCGAGAGCAGTGATGTTTTGGGGCTGTCGCCGAACAACACGGACTTTCAACTCCCGCCACAGATTTTCTATGGGGTTGAGGTCTGGAGACTGGCTAGGCCACTCCAGGACTTTCAAATGCTTCTTACGGAGCCACTCCTTTGTTGCCCGGGCGGTGTGTTTTGGATCATTGTCATGTTGGAAGACCCAGCCTCGTTTCATCTTCAAAGTTCTCACTGATGGAAGGAGGTTTTGGCTCAAAATCTCACGATACATGGCCCCATTCATTCTGTCCTTAACACGGATCAGTCGTCCTGTCCCCTTGGCAGAAAAACAGCCCCATAGCATGATGTTTCCACCCCCATGCTTCACAGTAGGTATGGTGTTCTTGGGATGCAACTCAGTATTCTTCTTCCTCCAAACACGACGAGTTGAGTTTATACCAAAAAGTTCTACTTTGGTTTCATCTGACCACATGACATTCTCCCAATCCTCTGCTGTATCATCCATGTGCTCTCTGGCAAACTTCAGACGGGCCTGGACATGCACTGGCTTCAGCAGCGGAACACGTCTGGCACTGCGGGATTTGATTCCCTGCCGTTGTAGTGTGTTACTGATGGTGACCTTTGTTACTTTGGTCCCAGCTCTCTGCAGGTCATTCACCAGGTCCCCCCGTGTGGTTCTGGGATCTTTGCTCACCGTTCTCATGATCATTTTGACCCCACGGGATGAGATCTTGCGTGGAGCCCCAGATCGAGGGAGATTATCAGTGGTCTTGTATGTCTTCCATTTTCTGATGATTGCTCCCACAGTTGATTTTTTCACACCAAGCTGCTTGCCTATTGTAGATTCACTCTTCCCAGTCTGGTGCAGGTCTACAATACTTTTCCTGGTGTCCTTCGAAAGCTCTTTGGTCTTGGCCATGGCGGAGTTTGGAGTCTGACTGTTTGAGGCTGTGGACAGGTGTCTTTTATACAGATGATGAGTTCAAACAGGTGCCATTCATACAGGTAACGAGTGGGGGACAGAAAAGCTTCTTACAGAAGACGTTACAGGTCTGTGAGAGCCAGAGATTTTCCTTGTTTGAGGTGACCAAATACTTATTTTCCACCCTGATTTACGAATAAATTCTTTACAAATCCTACCATGTGGATTCATGGATTTTTTTTTCACATTCTGTCTCTCACAGTTGAAGTGTACCTCTGGTGCAAATTACTGACCTCTGTCATCATTTTAAGTGGGGGAACTTGCACAATCGGTGGCTGACTAAATACTTTTTTGCCCCACTGTATATTAAGTAATCCAAAGTATTCAGAATACGTTACTCTCATTGAGTAACGTAACGGAATACGTTACAAAATACATTTTGGGGCATGTAATCTGTAATCTGTAGTGGAATACATTTTAAAAGTAACCTTCCCAACACTGTATACTATGTTCATGTTAAGCAGATATGGTAGAGGCGATAATATTTTGGATAAAGCAGCAAACTTTTTTTTTTTTAATTCAACATTTACACCATCCTAACTTCTCTGAAAACAATCCTAACACTCTATTTTAGTTATAAGATGCAAAACTGTAAGTAGCTTTGGATGTTTGCCTCTTACAAAGATCACTTTCGTTGCTCCAGATTGACGAAATGTGGAAGAGCAATTTTGAAAAAACAAAACGACATTGAATTGGTTGAATTAAAAAAAAAAAAAAAAAAAAGTTAAATAAACTGAAGAAATAACTGTTAGATAAAGTGATTATTAAAATTATCCGTGTTACAAAAGTTTGGGTCGTCCTTATGTTCATGGCAGCTGTACAAATCGCTGTAAAAAATAGCTACGCTTGTTGAACACATTATGTGTATTTTTTTTTAAGATGTATTTAGCAACTAATGTATTCAGGTACGCCCACACATCAAACATCTGAGTCGACTCTGTTTCAATATAATTATAAAGTGGGTTGAACTGCGTGGTCCAGAATATTTTCCCCATTTGGAGTTTTACTGTTTACAACCAAAATGTATGAGTGTACTTTTTAAATATAACCAGCCTTTGATGAACTCTTTGAATTACATGTGGAAAATGTGTGTGGTGTGCTATAACGACAGCAAAATAAGCCTATTTAGCCGCCTTGGCATTCTGCAATCTCTGTATTCATGCTACAGGCCATCCACAACTGCACACGAGCAGAATGGAAGTGGTTTGCAAAGCGGTCTGCTAGAGAAATCAGGTCAACCATTGGATTACCAATGAACTTGAGGAAATCCCCTCAAACTATGGATGAACTTCAAGTCTGCGTAGCTTTGCATTACTGGATGTACAGTAAAAGAGAAAAACTAGCACGAGTCGTACACTGTGCCTCTATATGATGGAGTTAATATCAAGCAAACATCATTAAACAGGGAGGAGACCTCGACGTGAACCCAAGGCTTATCATGGATGCCATTAAGACGGAAAGAAAACAACCGCACACGATCAGCGTCCTTTCTCATTAGCTGGGAATAACAAAGTCTTTGCTATTCAGTGAGGATTTACTCCTGATTTCCCAACATGCTCGGCAAAATGGGAAAAAAAAGGAAAATCAAGCCCACTGCTTTGCTAAAAGAAGAGCACTGAGTAACCCAGCTGTGTCTATGAACAAGCATATTCCTAATAAAAATGGGACATATGTGAAGGTTGGACTCATTGACTGAGTTTTAGTTCCTTAACAAACTAACTTGATAATTTAAAAGAAGGAAAATAGCAAATGCATGGTGCTTGTTTAGAATCTAATAAACGCATGAACTATATACCACACATATCGAAATCAATACGACTTAGAATGTTGTCCTGTCACGTCTGAGACCCGCAAAAAGTCCTGCAATATTTCTTTCACTGTATCGCACACAATGTGCCACAAGAAACTAATTTTCTTTGAGGGTACAAATAACCTGGCCCTTTAAAACTTCTCAATAACTGCGCGTGAAGCCCTGGAGACACGTTTGAGCGACAGGCGCTGTAAAGGGAGAGACTGTTAAGTTCTACTTTGCAGGCTCAGCTGGTTGTTCTTCTGGCTTTTCATTCTTATTTTGACTCATGCGACTGACAGGTCAGAAATGGAAAGACAAGATATTCGTGGAAAAAAAGTGTGTCTCGTTGTGATGTTTCTATATTTGTTTGTAACTCAATGCGTGTCCTCACGAGTACAACGTTAAAAGGTCGTTTAAGGCAATTGTTTTATCGAATGTTTCTTGCAACTCAAATGTATAATTAAGGTAACTAACTGAAGAGGCTTTCTTAATTATTATTTCACAACTGTGACACTATTGACAAACATGCTGCAGTGACAGTGACATAAAAGAAAATGTGGTAATTTAGTTCATTATGTTTTGCAATTTTCCTGTAGACCTGAGATTAACCCTATGTAATGAAAATGTGTTTGTAAAAGTAACAATTGTAAAAACAAAACAATGAGTAATAATGATTTAATTTGAAACTGGAGTAAAACTGGTGACCCTTAAATTACATCCTAGAGTTTGTTTGTTTGTTTTTTTGTTGTTTTTAAAGGCAGGTGGTTCCTGAAATTATGTTTTAGCCAAATCATAGCCATCAAGTTATAGATCAGTAGTGCAAATTACAAAGTGAAGGCCATCACACACGGAGCCTGTTGGAAAAACATGACAGGAAATTCTGGATTTTTCAGATCCAAACTTGTTGTGTAACATATATACATGCCAAAATGTTGTATTTTTTGCAAAAATTTGTCTTCAAGAAACCCTCTGTGAAAGAAATGAAGTCTGCACCAAGCGATGATGAGCTAGTCCTTTGACTGGTCAGATCTGTTTATCCAGATCTGATCATTTGTAAAAAGCGAGCTTGGTTCGAAAGAATAAATGTCGCAAATTTGTCATGTGAATTACATAGTTGGTGTGACCGTCTGCATTAAGAATTTACAGAATTTACATATCCGGTGTTTAAAGGCCTTAACTCATTATACAAATACTATCATGATATTCCATAATAATAACAATTATACTGCGATACAGTAATCCTGCAGTACGACGCTACAACATCTGAAAAATGCCTCTAAAAAAGGAGAAAATAGAGCTGGTTGCATGCATTGTCCTAACTGTCCTCCATGAGTTCCTTCTTCTTTAGCCCGAGTTGTTTAACTTCTGTTCACTTACACTCATTCATTTAATAAGCACCACCTCAATGAGTCATAATGCAGTGATTCAAGGAGTTTAACTGCTGTGGGAATCCATCTAGAGCACCTGCAATCTTTAAATAAAGATATCAGGATTTGGCAGCAGTGAATCCACACCACAGCGAAAGAGAAAAAAAGTCAATAAGATACACCGTCACATCAATACATTTTTCAGCTCCTATTGTTAGCAGATAAATGAACATTCACCAACAAGTAATGTCACAAGCAGGACAAAGACTGGAACTTTGAAGAAGCCATACACACACATGAACTCACACATTTATTAAAACTGCAAAATAAGACCCCAGATGGATGACAAAACATAGACAACACCTGCCAACACGACCACAGAAATGAAAACTGATGGTTGCAAAAACTTGAAGATGAGCAGTAACGGAAGTGAATGATGATGGCGCAGGGAACACGTGGGGGGGGGTGACGACTAGCAAAGGTCAGCTTGCACACCTTGGGAGGCATGATGGATGTGCGCTATGAGAAGCTCCAAAGTCAAATGACCTTTATTGCAATCAGAACTTTTATTTTGAACACACAAGGCAGAATCAATTACCAGCACTATACAATATCTAGGTGTGTGCTGTTTGATATATGGATGAGCAAAGAATAAGACAGAAGTTTAAAACATTAATAAATCCTATTTCTGTGTGTTATGAGGCATAACATGAAGGACTGTCTTAATATCTGTGCTGCAACAAGCTAGAAATCTAAAACTAAATCTAAAATTAAGCGAACTTAACCCAAACAGTCTCCATGCCCTGCCTTCCCAACACAGACTTAATGATTCTAAATCCACGTGGACTACAGAGCTAAAAACGACTGAGCCCGTTTCCCATCCAGCCTCACTACTTTCAATACGTTCACATACACAAGTCTGAACGTCATTTAAATGCCGAGCCAGCTTGTGCTTGCAGTGATAAGGGAATTTTCCAGTGAGTCATAAGCAACTTCTCTCCGAAGGCTTGTGGAACCTAAAAAGAGAGCTGGGGGAAATGCAATATGCTGTTGCTCAGCAATCCTCTCCCAGTCCGCTTATTTCAACGACACAGGCATCTGTATTTAACCCTTCCAGCTCCTCCCTATCTTTTACCATTTGTCATCCTGACCGTGTGAGCTGAGGTTCTCAGGCCAATTTACTTTTGCTCAATGCAAGATCGAGCTGAAATGAAATGAAAGTTGCTCTGCAGCTGCTAAAATTGCCTAACTACTGTCCACAAACTGAAGCAATTTGGTGAAAGGAGCAAATAGATTTAAATGACTCAGATTAAAAATGGCACGACCCTTACCACCGTTCCCTGCTTCCAGTGCCTTTAATGTTTGCTCTTTGAGTCGGTCGGCTTCGTGTTTTTTCCTCCTGTGTTCCTCCAACTTGACCTGCAGGTCTTCTGCCACCTGCTGGAGCTCTCTGAGCTGGGCCTAATGAGATGAAATGAAAACAAAAAATAGAAAAAACATGGCCAACTTTGTCAAATTTATAGCTATTTATAACTATACCTTAAAGTCAGCATGCAAGATAGCAGCAACAGTTTGCATTGGTCTTAAATCTGATTGATTACAATCTTGAATCTAACTGTGGGGTTTTTTTAATCAACGTCCTTTGGAAATATAACTTTCATGCAAGCTGCACTAGCCCAAAGAACATTAACGTTCATATGTGATGTTCATAAATTTGGCTATTGTTCAGTTTAATAAGTCTTAAGTATTGGATAGTGGCTGCAGAAAGACAACGCACAGAAACAAGCCCAGAAAAGTAAAGCGACATTACAACATTTCGTATTAGGCTTGTACTGTTGTTACAGATTGGGACAACCTACACAGTACTGCCACACTTTTAAGAAATCCGGTCTCTGTTTTTTAAAGTAATGTTAATTTCTCTGTCGTTTGGTTGGCTCATTACTTTATTATACAATGTTTCCAGATATCGACGCTAAACATTTTGGAAACAGGCAAATACCTACAGAACTAATGAGAATGCCAACACCATCCATTTTTCCTGCTTAGTCCTTTAATGGTAGCATGGAAAATACAATTATAAACCTCCAGAGCAGTAAAACGAAGCCAACGCAGAAATGCCAAAAACCGCAGTTCATTGAATGGCCACTTGAGGGCATTTGAGTCAACCATCTTAAAAGCTTTAATAATGAAATTAACATATTTATAGATTAGTACATATAGTCCTTTTTCTCTATAGCTAATTATATTGTGACGTGTTAGAACTCAAATTCTATCGAGGCATCGAAATAGGATTTTACAAACCAGTGGTTAATGTCAGAGCAGCTGCTTTATGTCCATAAGAAAACCTCCCACCTGCTTGATAGCAGCATGTTAGCACTGTTGAAGCAAGCATGTGTGGATGTTGATGTTTAGCACTCAAAACCATTTCATTCCTGTGTACACTGTGATTATAGACACTAGCAGACTCGTGGCACTTTGTAAAGTTCTTCATCCCGTATTTAGCTGCATCTTGAACAAAATTCCATCGCTGATACAAGTTTTGGAGATACATGTTGACAGTCGCACATGAAACAAACGCACTAACCTAACATTGCATTTGCAGGGGGGTGATGAATGCATAAATCAAAAGAACTGGGATTTGTAATAAATCTTTTTGAAAACACATAAATGTTAATAATCACTATTCATGTGACTATAATCAAAGTTTCACTGATATTGGCCCACCAGTTAAGGAGGCCATAGGCTACACGCAGACATATGCTAACATCATTATAATAACATTCTTAATGATAAACAAAGCACAGAGACTATTATTGAGAGATAAACTGACAGACAAACAGAAGCACGAGAATTTCCCTGTTCTCTCTTTCCGTTTCCTCGTCTAGCTCCGGAAGAGAACCAACCAACACCGTGTATTTACAAAAACTTGTACCGCAGCAGCCGGGCCTGCACAATGGACTATTTAAATCACTTGCATCAGGAGGTGTTGCTGTCGCACCAAATACGACAGCTTTTGACAACCAAGCGTAACCTATCATCACTCTCTGTAATGGACCAATTAATATGAAAGAGCAGCAGCTCCTTGTTCGCGTGCATGTGTGTGTGCACGTGTGTGTGTGTGTCAACTCTGCCTTCCAATCTGTCCTCAGAGACTCTCATAATGCAGTGATGGATTCTGCGAGGTTCAGCTAGGGATGACTACCTTTCTAGGCCATGCTGCTTGCTTAGACACCTTCAGCTTGCAGCGGTGATTTATGGGCTCCATTATGAGGAGTACAAGAACATATTTACTTGTGGAAAAAACACCCATAACATGCAAAAAGTACTTCCATTGTGTAAGAAAAGAAGTAGAAAACACCAGAAACTAATATAAAGCTTCTCGCTGTTGCAAATTCTTCAAAGAATTAAAAACAAAAAAAGTAAAGAAAAGTGATTCTGAGGATAAGGAACGGCTGACGCTGCACTTCATTTCCTGCTTTAACATGTACTTTTAAGAGTGGGCCAATAAACAGCAAACATCGTGAAATGGGTTTTATTGAATACCAATTTGTATTCAATTAACAGCAGCATTCCCATTTCTGCTTGTTCTGTGGCACGTGAGGCTACAACGCCACGCTCAGCTTCTAATTTGATTTTTTTTTTGGTTAAAGTTTGATCGCAAGTGTTTTCTTTAACAGTTTCCTCTTGAACCACAGGAAGGGTTCATTTTTGAGTCATTGTGTAAGGTTTCCAACACGAGGCCCCGAAGGTAACCCTGCCATATCAACAGAGACACGCTGAGAAAAGAGGATCGCAAAGTGCGGCAGGGCTAGGAGGGCCGGGTGACACTTCAGCCTCGATCTGCCAATCAGCTGCCACCGAAAAGAACACGGAGAGGGGGGGGGGAGGAAAAGAAAGGAAAATAGAGCAGAGTGCAGGGTAAAAACCCAGGGATCACCAGCTGGCAAATCAGACATGTGTGAGCTCGCACATGTGAGTGTGATAAAAAGTGGCCTTCAGACAAATCTGTGCTGTAAACAAGTGGTTTCTTTCTCTTTTCTTTCCCTGACATCTTTTATAAGCGCTGCAAGATTTAAACAGCTGTATCCTTCAAGATACCTTAGAAATGAATAATCAGGGCAGGAAATAACAAGGATTCATAGCAGCCCTGAAAAAAGTCAGAACAGTGTAAATGTGCTGCATCAACAAAGAGTCCAAAATCCAAATAATGATGATGAACAACACTCAGTTGCTGCCATTTCAATCGCTAATACACTTAAAGCTGTAGGTGCTGCAGTGTTGGAAAGTAACTTGTAGTTTCTAAAGGCCACTAATGCATTAAGTAATGAGACCACTGAAGCGTCCTCGGAGATCCGCAGCTGCCAAATTTACCATATAATTTGCACCAAACTCCAGGAGTCCATCTCTAAATTGGCTCAGTGCTCGCTGAAGTAAATGTGCAAATGGAGAGGAAAAACTGTAAAGCAGTCGCTGCTCGACCCCAAGTTCTACAAAGGAGTCAAAAAGAGAGGAAAAAAAGGCCTGATTGCTCACGTACTTGTTTACTGGTGCTGATTTACACCCAGTCATTTACTCCTTACTGCTTTAAAGCGACAGCAAATGAAGTATAGTCACAGCTGAATTCCTTAAGAGACACAATAAAATGCAAAGTAAGGTGGCAGGAGCAGAGCATGATGATGTTTATGGGTTACAGATAACAGTACGAACTAGAATTCAAATCTGAGACGTGACGCATTATATAGCACAGTGATGTCTCTTGTGCTAAAACTGGAGGCCACTCAGCAGGAAATGACATGAATTGATCAACTAAAACGACACGATCCAAGTAACATAATGGAGGGAGGAAAATAGCAGGGCTTCTTTTTTTGACAGCTAGGAAGCAGCGAGCTTCTTACTGTGATAAGGCAAAAAGTACCTGCACAGCAGGCTAAGGCTGGTGCTGGAAACTGGTGCTGGGAGCACAACAGACGCCTGTAGCAGCAGGTGCTGCGAACATGTATGATCAAAACGGCATCACAAGCTGCTCACTGCTCAATAGCAATGCTCTGAGCGCAGCATATATGAAAGCAAATTAACCTTTCCGTCAACTGTTAGCTAAAAAGCGCTGTAGAAGCCACTGTATGGCAGCACACGCAGAACAACAGTTAACCAAGTGTCTTTATATCCTAACTACAAGCACTGTACATTTACCTTTAGTCCCCTAACCAGAACTGCTTTCCTGTACGATATAATCCACTAGCTTTTCTTATTAGAGCTATCACATTCATCTTAGCCAGCTGTTGGTTCAAAGCGCTTTACAAATGTGTCTCTAGACTCGTCTGAAGGTTCTCAGTCATCCAGGTCATCATAATCTATGGAGCTTGAAAAGAAAAGCGTCTGGACTTGTTTAAGTTTCCTTGAAGATGTTTCACCTCTCATCCAAGAAGCTTCTTCAGTTCTAAGAACAACTGGTGGAGAGTCGCAGATTTTAAGCCCTATGAGGGTCATGCACCCCCTATTGGACCCTATAGACTCACGGTGGTGCTGAAGCCACCAGCTGGGGGCCTTCTTGTGTGCATGTGCAATTTCCCTCCAATCACTCCAGCAGTCCAAAGACATGCATGTTAGGTTAACAGGTGATTCTCCAATTCCACTTTGATGCTGAACTAGACAGGTGAGAGAAACCAACTCAGTGTAATGTTACCCTGCTGTATCACTAATTTAACTCTTTGCTTTGAGGAAGACTGCTTCAAACCTGTTAATCAGTTCTGTAATAGTTTTGTAACCTCTAAACTCGAAATCACAAAAGTTCTCCAAGTTTTCTCCTGACGTAGAGGCCGTGCTTAGACGACGACTTAGTTCCAGTGTGAACACGAACTGATCTACTTTTCGGGTGGTTTTCAAACACATGCCGTATAATAGCTGGAACTTCTACAAGAATTTTTTTTTTACCTGTTTCTCCCTCCAGAGCAGCACTCCCTCCTCAATCAGCTGCTGCTTGAGTCGCAAACCTTCATCCAAGGTCCTCATCTGGCCCTCCACGTACGCCCTCTCTCTCTGTCCTAGATTCCTGGAGGAAAGGCGAGCGAGAGAAAGAGAGGAAGCACAGTCCCATCATTACTGAGAAAACGCCAGCCGCTCCTGTTATGGTCACCGAGATGGCGCAATCCAATTTTTAAGGGCCTGCGATGCAGCAGGAATCCAAATGGGAAAATAGAAGAGTAAATAAGATGGGGGCCGATGCTCCGCGGCTCAGCTAAATTGTTTCTGAAGCCTGGCAAACACAATATGAGTGCGGACCTTGTGAAAACATAATGAGATACACTCTGCTTGTACGCGGCTTCGAGACGAATGGCGCGGTGAATGAAATAATAGAGGACTGTCAACAAAAGAAGTGGGTTAGCGACATATACACAGCGGGCTGCGTTTCTGCGCCGCAGCATCGTCCATCTTTGCAGCTCAGCTCAGAAAAACATGATAAATACATCGTGGCAGGAAAATGAATTCTTATAAACATCTGTATTCAGGGACCTTCCACCTTTGCGCCGTGTAATTTATAACTTATCTAAATTATCTCCCAGGAAAAAAAGTCTCTGGGTGGTGGGAGCAGTTTAAAGCAAAAAGGAGGAGGAGGAAAAATTTGCAAGAAGGTCGTGAGTCACATTTGCATTTAACAGATGAACTCTTCAATACAATTTTGTGATGCACACACAGCCCTGAGTTTTTAAATCACAGTGACACCATGCCCCCTGGTGGCACAGTAACAGATTCACTGCAGAGTCCATCATACTGCTGCTACGATAAGCAGCTTTCTATTCAGATGATGGTGAATTCCCCTCAAAGATCTGTTTTATATCAGACCGCATGAATATCTTTTCACATTTGGATATTTGTTTTTAAATAACTGGACCCTCTGGCGTCTGGCGACATATTTCGAGTCAAATTGCACATGTGTTAATACATAAATACCGAATCTCAATTTTGAATCGACTGACCAGCAAGTGTTCTGGCAGCGAGTGTGGCTGTTGTATTCATCGGAAGCATCGCAGCAATCTGGCAAAGACACACAGGAGAAACCAATCCAATGCACACAGACCAAAACAGGAAAAGCATACCACATTGTCAGAACGGAGATGTTTACAATGTCTCACTCAATTACTACACAACAGATCAAAGTTTGTTTTTTTAAAACTCGTACACAACAAAAAAAAATACAAGATGCTTTCTGCAAAAGCAATATTTTGCTTTCCCACATATAATACACAGTTTTTTTTTTCATTAAAACGATAACAAACAATAAACACAAATATGCTACAGGAAAACTGAGCTGAAACTTTAAGCCAATGAATTCTTGTAGTGAGTCAAGAGAAACTTCGACGGCATCTTTAACACAGCCTGAACCGTCTTAAGCAGCTTTCTTGGAATTTCTTTAAGTAGTCTTCAGGAATAGTTCTCTAGACCTCTTAAAGGACATTCAAAGCTCGTTGGATGTTGGCTGCCGTTTATTCTGTTTTCTGATCCCACTCTGCTTCAATAATGTTGAGCTCCAGACTCTGGGGAGGCCAATCCATGACTCGTTTTACTGCATTGGCAGCACGTTTGGGATCGTTGTCATGCTCAAATATGAAGCTGACTTGTTCCAGATGGTATTGCACAGTGAATCAACATCTGATGATACTTTTCTGTGTTCATAATACCATCGTTTTTGATCCCCAACAAAACTGGCTGAAATACAGCCCATAACAGAGCCTGCACTAAGTTTTACAGACAAACACTCACTATTATACCAATTATTCAATTGACCTCTTCTGTACATACTGGAGGACAGAAGACTTCTGCACAGTACTGTAGCTTAGCACAGCACTAAGGCTAGAAACCATGGTGATGTATCCACTGTGACATCTGACAGCGCTTTGTGAAGCTCAGGTTTAAAGCTGTTGGGGGTTTTTTTGGAACCAGAAGTGACCATGGCTGAAAACGCTGGTTAGAAAAGCACATCAGCTCAGTGTATGGGTGCAGCGCAGACACTGCTAAGCAAAATAAAAATAAAATAGAATTTCACTTGCTGAAGCACAGACATCTTGGATAGGCTGTCAGTTCAATTAACGACACAGCAAGGCATGTTATTGGATAATATAGCTCAGACAACTCCAGTAATAGAGCTCCAAAAAGCACCAGCACCATAAATGTGGTTGAAAGGTCAAGTTCAGCGACTTCAGTTGGGTGTAAATTATGTTTATGGAGCAAAACTTTTTTTCTACCAGCATGTAAATATGATTTTTCTTTCTTGCTTAAGTACAGTTGCCTATTTTAACATGAGACTGTTTCAAGAGTGACTTCATTTTGGATACAGCCCCATGTGGTGTCTTGAGGATTGCAGGTTTTTGCCACCACTAACTCAAAGAAGTGTATCTCCCAGAGTGTCAGACAACGCAATATCACGAGTCAATATTAGCTCTTTGCCTTTATATAAGCATCAGCATTTGACACAAAATTCAAATTTAAAAAGTAAAGAAGAAATGCCCTTCAACAACCTTACAAGGGTTGCAGTTGCATAGTTTATCCACAAGAGGGCACCACCGGAACTTTTCTATAGGCAAGACCAAAAACAACCAGACGATCCCAGCAAAGACGAGCAGTGCAAAGGAATATCGCTACATATAACAATGTGCTATTGTTATGTGTAATTATATTGTTACATTTATTGTGTGTGAAAGAAAAAAAAAATTAACCAGTGCATCAAAATATCGGATTTTTAAATCACCAAATATCGGTGCGCTTTTTAAAAATCCCATATCAGTCGTGCTCTATCAGATTATCCTTTAAAACTTCAACACACTGCATAAAACAAAACGTTTCTGTGTAATGACAGTAATAATAATAATAAAGTATCGACGTCTGAGCTGAAGCCGGATGATTCACATTAGCAGCTGTTGCAATGTTTTTCTCGGTTTTCATCATTCTGCAGCTTGTGTTGTGTTTTGAGGCAGTTGAATATGACAGTTGTGTTGCTTTGCAGTAATGGCCTTTTATCTACAGTATATCACTGCGGTCAAGTGCATTTGGGAAAGCTCGTGCTGTGCGGTGCAGGGAACAGCTGTGATTGGCATAAGCAGGCAGGTCATCAAGCGATGATTTAGGGAGCGCTTTCCTGGCTTTTGCTTTGTGTTCTTCTGGTCGAGCACACATTTACAGCATCGTGCTCATTTAATCACGAGAAGCCACACGATTAAAATTTAATTAATTATGCTGACAAATGTATACTCTCTTTCATGTTGAGCTACCCAGGAAATCTTCGTCCTTAAAGTTGAAGATTAAATCTTTAGGTCTGCGTGACATCTCTCTGCGCTTCGAAGAAGGTCTCTTGATTTCAGCCACTTATAACATCAGCTGCATGGTGTTTTGTAAGTGCTCAGATCTGGCTCTTTCTCTGATGTTTCACCCAAGAGAGTGGGCACAGTGTGAAATCTCTCAATTATCCAGAACCCCATTGGTGACCCATCGAAAGAGAGCATTACAGTCCAAAAAGGGAAGCCAATGAATGTCTCTGAACAACCAGTCAAAGAGGAAAAGCGATGATGAATTAGCTATTAAGTGGCTCCATTCAAAGCAGAGAAGGTATGAGAAGAAGACAAGTGGGAGCAGAATAAAAGGAAAGAGGAAAGGGTGAGGGCGGCTTTGGGAAATATTCTCCTGCCGCTCTATCATGCTTCATTCCTTCAGCTTTATTTCCTGCGATGGTTACATGCCGTCTATTGCTACTGCTGCAGAACGAGCTGGTGACAGAGCAGAGATGTCAGCAGCAGAATGTATTGAATTTATCCAAAGTGGCGAGCTACTAGAGAACAAAAGTGGAAAAGAAAGGGAGGCTGAAAAACTACCTGATTAGGCAGCGCATGTGGCAAGAAAGAATGGAAGAAAGCCTTGAGAATAATAGAAGCAGGATGTTTTTCAAGGAAAGCTGAGCGAGGGAAGTGACTGTATGGACGCATCTGCATTTGTGTGAAGGCAGCCATGTTCTGTTTGTTGAAGCTACATCGTTTGTTTGCGCTACAAAAAAGACTGAGAGTGCGTATATCCACATGTCAGCATCTGCACATCGAGCAAAACATAAATTCCTGCCCGTGTCTGCAAAATACACAAGAGGGAAAGTAAACAAGAAGTTTTTACTCGGTAAAATCAGGACTTTAAGTTATTTTGATGAAGACCCGACAGCGTGTTTATGATTACGTGGTTGTGATGCTATTGCATTAACAAAATACACAAAGAGACGTAGAAAAAAAACTTGAGAGATAACTCATATGGGGCGATCGTGGCTCAAGAGTTGGGAGTTCGCCTTGTAATCGGAAGGTTGCCGGTTCGAGACCAGCTTGGTCAGTCTCAGTCGTTGTGTCCTTGGGCGAGACACTTCACCCGTTGCCTACTGGTAGTGGTCAGAGGGCCCGGTGGCGCCAGTGTCCGGCAGCCTCGCCTCTGTCAGTGCGCCCCAGGGTGGCTGTGGCTACAACGTAGCTTGCTATCACGAGTGTGTGAATGTGTGGATGACTGGATGTGTAAAGCACTTTGGGGTCCTTAGGGACTAGTAAAGCGCTATACACATACAGGCCATTTACCATTACTTTGGTGCCAATAACAATGCTAAGTTTTAGGGAGTTAAAAAAAAAGTCTATCTATGATTTTTCAAATTGGACAGACTTCAGCCCCACCCACCAGGGACCAACAGTCAGGTAAGTGGAAGACCACAGCTGGATGGTAAACAGACTAATAGAGAGATGTCCTTTCTAACAACACATCGGAGAGCAACTTGCCCAAGGACACTTTGACATGCAGACTGGAGCAGCCAGGGATCAAACCACTAACCTTCTTATTAGTAGATGACCTTCTGTAACACTGATATATCACCCAAACTCACTAACATCAGCCATGTATCAGTAAATAAGAGGAATTTAATGATGGAGGTTGCCAACATTTATCTGTTGTATTCACAGCTCGACCGTGTTTTTGAGACCGATATTTTGTGATATGAAAATCCGATATTCCAATTTGTTTTCTTTCAGACATATAAAACATAACGAGATTTCGCTGTTTGTTTTGTTCAGTTATGTACTTACCTGTTTCCCCTCAGCATAGTGTTTGTGTCTGAGGCATGCTAAAGTTGCACAGTGCCCTCTGGTGGATAAACTATGTAACATCAACATTCATAACATGCCTGAAGGGCGTTTCTTCCATCTGTTCTTTACTGTTTTAATTTTCATTCATCATCTATTTTAAATGCCTAAAGTGATCAACGACAAATAGAGAATATCAGCCTGACAATAAATCAGTCAGGCTTTATTCTCCTCAGCTATAATATGTCCAACATGTGAAAATAAAAGTATTAACATATCTTCATAACCAAACAACAGATACATTAAAACTGATATACAGTATCTGTGATAGGACAATGTTCCCTGTGCTCTATGACGGCTGTAGGCTTTAATCTATGAATACCTGCCAAGTTACTCAACCCGCCTCTGCAGTAGTTTCCACTCAGCGGGGATTTCCAGGACCGCAAGTTGCCCTGATGACATCCAAACAGAAAAGGCGGCTACCAGCCGACAGTAAGACACAATATTAAACCACAGCCTTACCACAGATGCCATCATTGACTCTGGATGATGGGATGTAGTGCGGGCGAAAACCCAGATTGGTGCAGTAGAATCGGCCATGAGGACAGGCTGACGTGCCTACATGGAGCAAGGAAAACTGGTCAGCACTGCATTATAAACTAATGTGCAGAAACAAATGAATTTACCTTAAACTGTTCACAACGCTTGCAAAGACATTAGCCACCTTATTACTGTTTCTAAAAATTCAAACTTTTAAACATTTATTTGTATTCTTGATGGGGTTTGTTTTTGTTTTTAATCATTATTTTGTGTGTGTGTCTTTTTAAAATTTCAAAATCTGGTTAGTGTTGGCAGAGGTTAGCCGCAGCCCTGTGCCCCACATACAAACTGTAAATGATGTGTGACTTTGATTTAAAGCATAACGATAAAAGCCACAACTGCATAATGAAATCGGGGATGTTTCTCCTCTGTCTTTTCCCGTTTATGCTACACAAGAGAAAATGCCATCTATCTTTTAATATTTAAACCCTGCAAAATATCCAGTAACTATGTTTGCTAAGGAGGGTATGGTAGAGTTTGCATATCACGATAGCTTGAAAAGTTTTGAGATAATTCTGATAAAACTTTGTAGCTGTGTAGGGCAGGGCCATGTTAACAGTCTATTCAAACTTGGTTTACATCCACCAAAGTCTTAAAGATCAATTTAATGATTTATTGGTCAAAAACTGAAAGAAAAAAAAAAGTATAACCTACAAACTATGATTCTTCAAGAGTGCTGGGTGTTGTCAGCATATAAAGTAGGATTTAACAATTTAAAATATCATGTCACATTTGATCTCTGACCTCTCCTTCAAAGGTTAGTAGATTAATCTGCAAGTAAAGTGATAATAATGTTATATAAAGCTATTTAAAATAACAATACGTTTTCAGACTGACAAAAACATGTTGCCAAGAGATGCTATTTGAGTTTAGCTGAATAAATTTATTCTTACTTTGCCATTTACATCACAATAATAGATTGTAATTATGTAGATTGTAATCATTAAATACATAACAATTTGACTACATTACAATGTATAATTTTTATTTTTTTAGGGGGGATGGGGGGGGGGCTTTTGACACTTGATATTTATTATTCAACAAATTTCACTAAACAATGGCAAAAAAGGCTGCACACGTCCTGTGGGCATATAAATTTTTAAAAAGTATTGCAATCAAAATTACGCTAAGCATATTAAAATGGGTTTCAGCAGGGCAAACAACAAAAGCCTGCACTTTGCACTTGCTTTTACTTAACTACAGACTTCTAGAAGTATGTTTAAAAATAACATAGAAAACAATATGAATATGTACAAAATACAAAGTAAATACTTCCCAGAGAGTGAGCTGCCTTGGTGGGGGTTCTTGTTCTCATGGCTTCTTGTTTACATGGTTTATTGTTTTGTCCACGCAGTGCATGTCTTCGGTATTGACAGTCTGTTTTTGTTGTGTACAGTTTTTCCCCTCACACTTCCCAGGATGTAAAAGAATGCACTTTTAAAATCGGCGTCTGCTTTGTGCAGATCAGCTGCATGTGTTTTGCCCCCCAAAACACATGCAGCTGATCTGAGCGCAGAAAACTTCAAAAGTCTTTAAAGTAAAACACTGATTTTCCAACAGAGTCACAGTGACCAGACATACTGACAGACAGAGGCCCGCTGGCCCCACTGATTAACCTTTTACCTGGTTCATCTGAGCCATCTTCACAGTCGCAGTAGTCGTCGTTCACCTGCTCAAATGGGATCATTCTCGACCCATCTATGCACAGAAACGACTTCCTCTCCCTGTAGAACCTTTTATCTGTTACAAAATAAAAGCAAACGCCCACTTTTGTAATCGCTGCTGGCTCTGAGGTGCAACCAGAATTGTAGCCAAACATTGTGCATCAGTGTGAGCGCTTATAGTGTCTTAGCACGGATCCCCTGGGGAGGGTAAAACAGCAGGTTTGTGTTGTGTTGCTACTACACACTCATGTTGTGTACCATTATTATGCTGTGTACTCTGTTATCACAGCTTGTAACGTGCTGCCTGAAACCAGGAGCTGCCAAAGCTTCAGCACCATGTAGCTGTTCCTGTATATATTTGGCAGCTACCTAGCTGGAAGCTAAAAGGGAAGAATGGACTTACAGGACGAGGATATTCCTCTTACTTTCCGCGAGTCCACATAACCACACCAAAACACAGCAGCGACAATAATGTAGACACGCATGTCAGCGCCTCCTGCCTCATAAAATCCCGCTCAAGGCTGTTTCAAACACTGCACCGCCAGCATCTCAAACTGCCGTGTCCCGACTTCCTGAAACACGCGGTCTCGTGGCGCTTCTGAGGCTTTCTATTGGTTTCTAGTTTAAGGTTCGTGTGATCATCCACCGACCAATCGCAGGGGAGAACGGCAGCTGAGGCGAAAAAGAGGACGAATTTGATTAAGATTTACTGCACTTACGGCTTTATTTACATTTTAGAAATGGGAGTATAAAGTTGAAGCACTTTATTTAAGTGTAGCCTTTTTTAGAGAGCCAGCAGACATCTTTTGTAGTCAGCTGGAGCTCCTTCACAAGCACAGACATCACCAAGGTCACTTTCACATATAACATATTTACGACTACTGCACTTAAATAAGCCTGAACTAAAATGTGTGAAACGAAACAGGGAAAAAAAAAAGATAGTAGATTTCCTTCCTCCCCTCCTAGTGTTTAAAAAAAAAAAAAGAAGAGAAAGAAACAGAAGACTTATCGTGGGACAAAGTCCGGTTTTTGTTAGTTTTGAGTGCTACACATGCAGTTGTTTTTCCCTTTTCTTTTTTTATCCGCTAAAAAACAAACAAAAAACACATCGACAAAAGACTCACTTCATCATTTTATATATCTGCACGAAATGAATACAAAATGTGTAAAACGAGAAAAGATAACTCTCCATAATAAACAATCTGCAAAATTTACATTAAGAAAAAAAGCATTAAGTCGTCAGATTTTAGTACACCATTGTGGTTCGAGGCACTTGAAAAGCGGTTATTTAAAAGCTACAGTTAACTTTTTATTATTATTATTTATTTATTTCCATGTGTCCCTTTTTTATTTGGTCTCGCTGTTTAGCCGTGTGTACAGGCCTGCATTGCATAGAGACTCCTTGCTTTGGATGTAAGACAGGTCTCGGATCATGCCGGGGAGGGAATAAGAGTCCAAGGGTGGACGCAGTGGGAACACCGGCATCAGTCCTGATGTCATGTATGGAGACATGAAGCCTGCCATGCCGCCGTTAGCGGAGGGATAGGCCAGCCGCAGGGGGCTGACGCCCAGGCGAGGGCTGAGGCCGTACAGGCTGTCTCCCCCTGGGGACGCGGGCATGTGCAGCGGGGAGAAAGCAGACTTGGCCCCCAGAGCACCGAGCCCTCCGGGCAGTCCCGCAGAAGGCCTGCGCGCGCTGTCAGCGTCAATTTTGTTCTCTTTGGAGTTCAACGCCAGCTCAATGGATTTGACAATGTCACCTTTGCACGTTCTCACCATAGACTCCAGAGTGTCCCGTTTCTGATGGGGGAAGATCTTAGCCATGATGTCGGTGGGGTCACGGTCCGGGCTCAGATACTCATTGGGCTTCTCCGACTCGCTCCCCGACTCTGGATCCGAGGAGGGAAGTGACCTCTGCGGGCTCTCTGTATGGTCTGAGCGGTGATCCATCGCAGGGGATTGACTTCCGCCGCTGTCCTTGCTGGAAGACAGCTCTTTCTTGTCACTTGGAGAGGGCAGCCGTGGAGAATGGGGTGCAAACAGGGGTCGGCCCATGAATCCGTTGTAAAAGTTGTATTTGCGTAATTTGTCCTCTGAAACTGTAACTAAGGATGAAAGAAAAGGGACAACAGCTTTTAAATTAAATGCGCACGGGGTAATCAAAGTTCACCAAAGCTGCAGAGGAACCAAAAAGAAGAACATTGTTGTGTATTAAAATAGTTATGAAGACAAAGTATACAGTCTCACATTTCAACTCACCGTCTTTCTGATTCTCACTCCCAAAAACATCGAAACAGGGAGCTGCAGGAGTACTGCTGGCAGATACGGGTACCCCGGCGCTAATGGACGATCTCTGAGGGATCCCTGCTTCCCCTCCGATCCCAGTGCAGGGGTACAAGAGCCGAAGATCCCGGGCCTCGCTCTCTTCCTGAGCCTGCTGCCTCCTCAACGCCACCTGCGCGGCCATCACCCGCTGCCTCTCTGCAATCAGTGTGCACTTTGCGCACACGCAGTCTCTCCAGCGACAAAACCGCTTGTGGCCTTTGAGCGCAGAGACCACGCCGTGGTTCCTGCACCTGGCACACTTCGGGGTTCGGGGGTATCCCCTCTCCAGCGTGGGGTTGCAAGCCTGGAGGAAGAGAGGCGGAGGACGCAGAAGGGAAGGGGGTACCGGCAGGCTACCGAGCGGGCCGGAGGTATGATCGGTCAGACCAAGGGGTCGGATCCTATTTTCCATCGCTCAGAGGAGAGGGTTAAAAAAAAAAGTCTACGAGTCCTGCAAAACTGTTTACGGTGAAATCATTAAGGTGTTTTGGACTTCTCTGAGCGACTGGTGTCTCTGTAATGCGCCAGCACGCTGAACCTGCGCGCCTTAAGTGTCTCCTCGCCAGGTGGTTTGAGTTGAAACACAACACCTTCGTCACACCCCTTTCCGCTCAAGCCTCTTAATGCCCTATCATGTTTATTTGCATCCCGGATGAATGGGCGGGGGTCTAATCTGCGACTACACGCGGCCATAGAGTGAAAGGACAAATAAAATTTCAATAAAAACTTGAAGCTTATCAAGAGCAGATAAAAAAAAAACTCTCGTTTTGGAAATAAAATCAAAACTGCGCTCTGTTTGAAATGACATGCAAATTCGCACAGACGTTATAATAACATAAAGTAGTAGGCACAGAAGGTGGATCGAACAAGGCCAGCGTGTTACAAAACAAGCATTATTAGAAAATAAGAAAGAAAAACATGTTGCCTCAGGCCAGCTTCCATTCGGTTGCCCTAATGTGTGATGAATATTCACTATTAGGATGTTTTTCCCCCCCTCAACACAACAATGGGCCTAATAGCCACAAAAGAAACAGGTAATTATCTGCTTGGTTGTTCTGTTGAACAAATTACTCTGACAAAAGACCCATCTGTCAACAAACACCCAGCGAGATTGGCGAATACCTAATCACACCTTGTCACATGTTTCATTCATTTCCCTGCATTCAAACAGGATCCGGTTACACGCACCAGATTGCTTTGCCGTTATGACAAGAGAAGCAACTTGAGCATAATGTGACAAGCGCAGTGTCAGTCACCAAGGGCAACGCCACGAGGAAAAAAAATATCGTTAGGCAGAAATTAGCAAATATGTGTGTGTGTGTGTGGGGGGGGGGGGTATCATGATGCGAACCCTATTGTTCAGTTCAATACTCTATGAAATGAATCCAGTCATGTTATGTGTGTCCAAAACAAACATAAGGCTCGGGGGGCCAGACTCGGCCGGCAAAAAGTGCAATCCGGCCCACTGGAAGGATTTAGAAAATGTGACAAAACCTTTTAGCTGTGTTGTCATAAATTTTACAGTTTCCACTGACAAAGATTCAAGATTCAAAGTGTTTATTGTCATGTGTCACAAGAGAAACGGCATTTCTCTGTGCAATGAAATTCTTTCTTTGCTGTTCACCCACAGATGCCGATTAATACATACACAATAGAAATAGAACATATAAATACAAATAGTACAAATAAATGAAGACAGAAAAGGAGACAAAATATGGAGATTTGAAACAGAGATGTGTGCAGAAGAGCTATAGCTTAATATGTAAGATGACCTGATGTGCAAAAAAACAACAACATTATTACTGTTCAAAATGGGTCAGCTGTTCAAGAGTCTGGTAGTGGGGAAGAAGGAGTTGTTGAGGCTGCATGTTCTGGATTTCACACTTCTGAACCTTCGTCTCGAGGGCAGAAGTGTGAACAGTCCGCATTGGGGGTGTGGGGTCTTTGAGGATGGAGGCAGCTCTCCTCTGGACTCTGCAATGGTAGATGCTCTGCAGAGAGGGCAGCGGAGTCCTGTTATCACTCTCTGCAGGCGTTTGCGGTCCGTAGCAGTATTGCTGCCGTACCATGCAGTCATGCAGCTGGTCGGTGTGCTCTCCACAATGCAGCTGTAGAACCTGCTGAGGATCTTGGCCGACATATCAAATTTCCTCAGCCTCCTCAGGAAATATAGCCACTGCTGAGCCTTCTTGACCAGCTGGATGGATATTTTCTGTGAAATCACAAAAAGATCTTCATGTAGAGAAAACTGAGAAAGACTTTGTTTTCTTACACTGAGTTTAAACTACTTAACACTGACTTTACGTTGGTCCGTGTGGGACGTATGTGGCCCGCGACTTTGACATCCCTGCTCTAACCTACTGCTAAACTGCCTTTCTTCAAGGTGTGTCTCTTACTTTGTCCATACTTATCTGCGCAAACAGAGTGAAATGATAAATCAAATGCCACACATGATACCATCCCCTGATCGTCTACAGACTTGCTCTGCCTGTAGTTTTGACTCCATCTGAATAATGCATGTGAATCAAAGAAGAAAAACCAACAATAACCTTGTGGATGGAAGCACTTGGTCCCCTGGCTTTTCATTTAAGATAAAGATTCCCTGACGCGCATCTTTGAGGCAGATCTACCACGACACTGGCATGGGAAATCGCAGACATAACTAACGGTGATTAATGTTAGTTATCACAAATGGAGACTCGTAGGTGTTTCAACTTGCTGATAAAAGAAGATAACTGTTTTTGAAACTAAATTATCTGAGTTACTGGGACTTTCTTTTTTTTCCCATGTCTTCTTCACACAGTTGCCTCCTTTGTCGTTTCCCAAGTGATGGATCTTATCTGAACGCTATTTTGCTGTGCGGGGAGAAAAGCTATACGCACACCTGCACGGCGGCCATGCTTGCGTAAAAGCTAAGTGCAGACATATTGTGCAAAGGCTCTGACTTGTATACAGGCTTTGTCTTGTAAACTGAATAAATAAAGCATCCAGATAATGATTTGTGCAGATGAGGCTTTGAGAAGTGAGTCTGCTATTTGCAGAAAGATGTTCCATTACTTATGGGCCTCGATAGATAAGGGCTGGTGCACGCTCACTCCAGCCGTGCAGGACAGGAAGGTAATCTGAAATGCATCCATCAACACAGAGTGAGTGTGCTTAAAGCATAAATAAATGCCGGTGATGCAGATGCTGTGTGGACGCACATGCAGTTTTTTTCTTTGCTTGTTTTGGGTTTTATTTTTTTATCATTTCATCCACTGTGAAGTGGAATTTGATGTTTGGATT